TGCACCAACCGATCACCGGCAGACTGGCACAAAATACCTGCAGGTCGCTGGAGGATTTTTTGTTCAGGATCCGTGGCATGAAGTGGATCACGGGAGGTAGCTAAGCTTATGAGCCATTACCATTCCTTAACAATTCTTTGTGCTGGCATGCCGCATGCTTCAGAAAAAAAAAATTTTCCCCAAAATACCCGATTTCTAAAAAAATACTACTTTTGTCAAAGCAGATTAATAAAAATAACTTGGAAAGCCAAACCTGGACTGAACGATGAGTTGATGAATTTCGGCAAAAAGGCCATCCAGACCATCACCAGTTACAGCACAGCATGAGACCGTTGTGCTTAATCTTTTCCTGATCACTTCTGATGTCAAAAATTGTTTTATCTCAACAATTCGACATGCCTCTGGTAAATCCTGCTTATTGGCTAACAATACGACCGGGACAGTAGCCGGGAAGTCTGGTAGCTGCAGCAAATTGGCCAATTCAACGTGCGCTTCTTCAAACCTTGATGAAAAATATTTGGATTACGAGTTACGAACCAGAATTCCAACAGATGGGAGCAAGCAGTAAAAATACTCACGGAATGGGACTTGGATACAAAAAGAAGCTATTTTGGCCAATGAAAAGTCATCAAATTCAATTGAGAGTGCCAATTAACATTATAGAACGAATGTGTTCCAAGCTTAAATAAAATGACTGGAAAAAAAGGATGGAAAACTGCACATAGTAGCGATGCTTCAAGCTTGTCATGCGAACGTCATTTCAATGGAAAAAGATCAGACTTTGTTCATTCCATCTCCCAAAGTTTGCTTTCAAGTGCAAGCGCACACGGTCCCATATAAAGAAATAAATGCACATCTCCTTGCTCGTAAGGCATCTTCTTATCGCAGTCTAAGAGTATCAAAGTTCGAGACGAAATGAGTGATGCTTAAACCACACTAAAGATATTTTGAACGGCTAAAGCCTTATTAAAGTTTTTCTGCCAGGAAATTAGTTAAACGGGTGATTTCTTTAGAAGACGAAATGAACGCCAGGATCCCTAGCAGACTGACGACCAGACTATGCAACATTGGTCAAAATAACTGGAAAAGTTGTCAGATTCGTAGCTGTAGAACGACGCCATGAAGTGCAGCTGATCA